GTAGAGAAGAGCCCCTGTTAAGTATACTCTTTTCCCTAGGGAACCACTATGATTCACTAAATACCACTGGCAAAGGCTTTACACCAGGGTCTTCACAGCGATCAGTTATTCTTTCCTTTAAATTGGAAACAGCAGTGAAAACTCTTTTTCAATGAGGGCCAGTAAAATCCTTTTTTGGTAAGGTAACAGAGCGAGCAGACTCCTCAGGGTAGACCTGGTGTCTTGTTTGTCACCTTTAGTTCGGCGGAGATTTTCTCTGTGTTAAAACTGCACGGAGAGGCTGTTTCAAAAATTCACAATACAGCAATTTTGGAGAAGATCAGCTTGTATTTATTAACTGCTCATCTCTAAGGCAGCAGGGAAGCTTAATCTCATTCTTTGGAAAAGGACAGTAGGGTTCTAAAGTGGGAAGAAAGCACCCACTCGGGTGAAGGTGTAGACAAGCTGCATGTGACAACTTGTCAGATATCAGCAATGGAGAATTCTTAGAGAATTCTTAGAGAATCTAATGCCATGGAGTGAATTCTGGTGGAACATGCTGCTGTCATGGAAGGCAGCTTTGCCTTGGCTGTTCTAGTAGGCTGTACTGCAACTGTCAAAATAAAATGTCCATACAAAGTCAGACTACAAGACCATCTTGCTCACCTCATCTCTGACAGTGGTCAAGAGCACATGCCTGATAGACAAGCTAAAAATTGGAAAAGCCCATTGTGGTACTTCCCCAGAATACTCACTTGAAGTCTTAGAAGATTCCTGCTTGTTTTTTAGTTTTCATATTTAATGTGCCCCAATAGATTACTTTTTTATGGATTTGTCTACTTGTCTTTTCAAACCACATACATTTTTTTTGTATCTACATCATCTTGTGACAAGGAGTTCCATAGGTCAATTACATACTGTGGGGGGGAAAAAAAAAAAATCACACCTCTCCCTTTTTTTTCCTTTGAATCTGATATCTGTTAGTTTCATTTGAAGCTCCTACATCTTCTAGCAGGCAAGACTATGAATAATTACTCCCTTTTCACCTTCTCCCTTACACTCCTCCTTGTCCAGCTCTTTTCCAATTAACCATTTTTTTCATGAAGACAACTATGAATGTTTTGTGCTCTTGGTATGATCGATCTCAAGGACTTTTTGACTGACTTGATTCTGTAAAGATAAAGTAAGATCCCCCTGATGTTTGGCATAAACAAGGGTGTTAGCTCTAGAAACATGAAGTTCTGGAAAGAAGAAAAGGATGTCAAGTCCAAGGTTTAAGTAAAGTTCAGAAGCTTCTTTTGGAAGAAACTCATGACAGATCCACAGGAATAGTAAGTCCAGAAAGGAAATAGTATAAAGAGGATCAATCAGCCAGTTACTTACTGCAACCAAAAAACCCCAACTATTTGAACACCAGCAAATAACCCATTCAGATTCAAACAGCCCAAGATTATCATGCGCAGCAAATATAGGACTGACTGAGGAAAAAAGTCTTTGGCAGTTTGATCAAGTAAACCTTAACGAAAATAAGTCAGAAGCCAGACTACTTTTGTTTCCAGCAAATAATCCAAAATCACTAGAACTGTTGTATTAGTACAAGGTACAGGCCTGAAGGAATGTAAGTTGAGAATGCAGTCTGTTCTGTAAACTCATCTATAAGTCAGTGATCTTCACAGGTGAAGAGGAGGAATGGTCCAGCACTACCAGCCATTCAACTCCATACACATGGAGATTATCCATATTCCAGTATGAGGAAGAGGCACAGCATTGAGATTCCTACTAGTAAACAAAGGTCTTGACACCAAAACCTCCTGCCGCAGCATGGAAACAGTATCAGAGATATGTATGTTGACCTTCCAGGTGTCATAATGAGGAGCATTTCCAACAAACCATGATTGTCCAAAAGCATATCTAGTCTTGAGAATGGAAATTTCAGTATGTCTCACTGGCATCCAACACTAAGTGGTTTATTTAGTGTCACAACAGATCTCTCACTGATGGCATTTCACATAACTTGTGAGGCTGTTTTAAAGGCCAAGATGAACCATGTAAAAGTGAACTTGGTACTGAGTACAAGTCAGCTGCTTCTGGAGAGGAGAGAATCTAATATCCCTCCCTTAATTTTTATCTCATGGTATGCTTATCACCTCAACACAGCACAAAACCCTTGTATGAACTCTGCATCACCTCAGCCTCCAGGACTCGGATGTACACCTTACTTCTTTCAAGACTAACAAGCCTGATTCTCTGTCATTAGAACATGCTCCTTAACTTAGAAGTGCTGCAAGCATCATGGAGTAGGAGAGAAGCGGACCCCTTGGTTACATTACCCCATCTCACCACTAAAGTAGATTCTGAATGGCTGTTGGGGTTTTCTATTGGTAATTTTATTTTCTCACTGCAAACAAAGGCACTTTTGATGAAACTCACTGATGAACACAGGGAAGTAAATGTCATAAAAGCAAAGACAAACTAATCCCCACTTAAGAAGCACTTATATAATTATACTCTCCTCACATGCAACTATTAGAAATCCAAAACGGTTCGCTATTCTCCTTTCTTCCCTTGTACTAGAAAACACTTCCTGTAAAATGCCTTCTCTCCAAGATGTGTGGGAAACAGTTCTATGCCTCCCACTGGATCTCTTAACTGAAGCACTCTCCAAGAGTTTTTTGAAAAGAGACAGACATGGAGGTAGCAGAGCTGCAAAGAGACAAAACACGTTGTCCTTCAGTACACAGTATCTACCACACACAAAGACACACATGGACTCCAGTCTGAGGAGTACAGGGAGATGGAAAAAATAAGAGGCTGGAATCGCAGGATTTGTTCCTGATCCTCTGTTGCACATCCTCCCAAAGTAACAACATTTGTGCTCAGAGCTGGGATCAGCAGGTGCCCAAGGCAAAGAAATACTGCTATTTCCTTGGATGCTCTGACTGCCCTAGCATATCCTGGAGCTGAACAGGAGTTCAAGGTCTAGGTGTTTGGCTTGAGATAAAGGACCAGTCTTGACATCCCTGGTTTTTTTTTATTTGTTGGAAGCAGAAGAAAAATTTTCCAGGGACAAAAGATGCAAGACTTCACTGCTCCTGAAGCTGGCAAAATTAATCCCTTCGAAATGAGGGTCTTAGACCACAATGTGCATTTCTCTGAGTATTTAAAAAATCTTAAGAGACAAGATGTCTGATACATACACTGCTACTAAGTCAACACAGTTACAGATGCGGTGTTGGCTACATCTAACATGCAATGTGAAGAAGTTCAGAAAAAATGCTGGATTTAATTGAGTACAAATCATTATCCCAAAATTAATGGGTGGGAGACTGGTAAAGCTGACAAAACAATTAACCTTTGTTCAAAATAAGTCAGCACAAATTGGTAATTTGCCAGACAAAGATCTAACAATGCCGTTTCTGACAATGATCCTCTGAAGAGAATCACCTTTCCTGGGCTAACTGTGCATTTAAATCTCTATCCTCCAAACTTCTCTATAGTTTTCAGTGGTGGCTGTGACAATCTAAATGAAGAAATTAGAGAACGAAAACAGAGATGAGAGTTCCACAAGGATGTATATCCTATAGCTACTTGATCCTGCACATGAAACCCAGTGGAATAAGGATAACTCAGATCCCCAGGGAGGAAGAAAGGAATGGAATCTGTTATTTACTGAAGCTAAATCTTAGAGGGAAATATCCCCTCTGACAGTTCTGGAACAGAGCTAGAGGCTATAGCCAGTCCTACAGGTAGAAGAGTAGGCTGCGAGAAGACAGACCCAAGTCCACAGCTGCTGAGGATGTGCAGAACCTTGAAGTAGCAACTGCTGCAACTTAATTTTCACTAATGATGAGCTGACAACTTGATGCATCAGTAGAAACATCTGTCTCAGAGATCCACGGGTGGAATTCGGTGATTACAGACAGAAGGGACATGATCTGAAAGTAACTTCACAAGATTTTGCAGATCTTTTAGTCACTGATGATGCGTGATGGCAGCACAGGCAGCAGACAAATGCTGTGGAGACTCCTGAAGAACACAGCTGAAAAACGCAGAGAAAGTGAACAGGATCATGACTGCCTAGGACATGAGAGATAAGCCAATGAAGTAAGAAAGGGAACAGCTACATCAGAGAACCGCATTTTGGACAAATGAAGCATTCAGTGTTTGTCATATGTTTGAGTGGAACAGAAATAGAAAAATGCATGTTCTGTCCTGTGAATTCATGCCTCGAGCAAGCAATAATGAAACTAATGGGGTATGAACATAATTATTTCATCTTCTCACAATTTATCTGGTCTTGAATGACAGAAAATATGCACAATCCAAGAGTGAACATGAACACAATCATTTCACTTTTCCCCTCTGACACTGTCTCTTCTGTCAGCCACTTGGGTTGATCATTATCTACTTGCCAACACATGAGAATGATCTCTTAACACTGACTATACAGGCTAGAAATGACAGGGGAGCTGTGGAATAAGTAAACAGATCAAATAGGCTGTTGGAATCCAATCTCTGAGGGCTCTGAGACAAACAACAGGAGATTTTGTACCCTTTGAGAATTACAGTTATACCATTTGCTGTTTGACAAGGCAGAAGTTGCAAAATACTGAGTTTTCCTTTAACCTGGCACCAACAAAGAGCCAGAGCTGAAGCTGCTTCCTGTTCATTTTAAGGATGGGTGGATCTTCTCTCCAATACATTTTCCAGCTGCTGATGTTGTTTTCTAACACAAGCAAATTAATTTTCACAGCATTAGGCAAATTTTAACTGGAGTGCTTCACCAAGCAACTATTGCAACTGACAGGAGCCACCTGGGCCTTAGGGTTCAAGCTTGGGTCTGAAAACATCAGCCAATTTAAAAAGTTTGTAAAGCCTAAACAAACAAAACTAAATACAAAAATATGCCACACAGAATGTAAGCATCCAACAGTGAAGCATAAAGACAGATTTAAAATCCTGTCCAATATAATGACAGCAAATATTTTGGGAGTGTGAATTAATAACTGAAATTATAACCAAAACAAACAAATGAAATTACTTTATTCCAACCAATCATTTCTATGGCTCTGTGCCAAAATTCAAGATGGCAACCAACACGGATGTCTCCAGTCCTATGTTCTAATATTTTTCTCTGCTGATGGTTGCCATGTGATGACAGCAGAGAATCTTGGCTGTTACCAGCCTGGGACAGACAGAAATGGCTGAGCAAATGAGACTTTATGTTCAAACTTGGATTTTAGAAGAAACAATACAGACAGCTGGAGGACCTCTGTCTTATATAAAGATCTCACAGTTAGTGATCAGAAAGAGGTGGAAGGAAGGGACCCCAAGACTCAGCAGCAGAAGCTCTCAGAGGCAATAATTCACCTCAGCTTGTAGATGTATCACCAGCTTCCAGAGATGTTCAGGTACTCTCATCAATGGGTTGTCCTCTCACCACGACCTCCTCTTCACAACCTGGGTGCTACGGGAGTGTGGTAGTATGAAGTCACTGCTGCTTTTTCCTTTGTCCCATACTTGAAGCAACACCCTGGGATTCCTCACCTGGTGTTCAGTGTTTGTCCTTCTCTGTGAGCAGAGGCTAGAAAAAACACAAAGCAAAGATTCTGAGTAATCATGGGGGACCGTTTTGTGGGAAAAACTGCTGCACTGCTTTGCAAATCTCAGCCATCACCAGAAATCTGAATATCCATACCACACCACCTCTCTCTACAGTAACAGGTAAGATCACAGATCAGTATGGCAAAACCTAACTTAATAAGCTACTGTGTGAAAAAGACTCTTGGTATTTCTCTCGAGCCCCAGAATACCTTCTTCACTCTTCGCCTCTGATTCATCTCTTCACATGAGCTCCTCCAGTAGTTCTAAATCCTTCCCCATATCAGTATGCTTTGTCTCTTTCTTTGTGTCTTTTACTTATTTGCTTGCATGGGAGTCTACTTCCCCACTCCAAAAGATGCTGAGGACCTTGGTGCAGGAGAGATGGGGGTGTGAAAAGGTTGATCTTTAAAAGAAATGAAATGAGGATACGGGGAAAAAAAATTTCCCATTGTTACAGAGAGAGATTTTAATTCTACATACTGCGACATTTTTCTACTTAGGTATGTTATGGGAAAAAGTCAATGTAATCATTTCTTTTACTTAAAAATCCTTAGACAGTCCTTTAAAAAGAAAAATCCAAAACACTTAAAAATGTACCAAGTTTATTTTGGACAGCTGATCTAGTAGGTAAAGTTTGTCCTGTGTATTTAGCACATCAGCTTACTTCTAAATGTAAGTGACATTTGTTGAGAGCTGTTTATTAAAAATATTGATATAGTTTAAAAAATATGCTCTCCATGAAAGCCCAGCATAGAGCCAACATCACACAGCACAGAGGATCTGGGAAGATGTTTAGAAAGCAGGATTGTCAGCTATGCCACTGCACAGAAAGTTTGGAACCTGAATTAGGAACCAAACCGTCAACCACGTGTATTAAGATAGGATATCAGTCTAGAAACCTATCCCTTAGCAATATGCTGAAATTAAGGAAACAAAGGCACATGAGAGAGGCAGCCAATCTCATCCTCGTCTTCCTGTTTTGAAGAGACTTTTGTGCCTTCCTTTTCCTACAGAAATGCACAGTACAGTTTATCTTTTCTCAAAAACAGAATTAAAATCACTGTGTGAGTTCCTCTTGTATGGCTACCTTGAGAACTCAACACAGAAAGGGTCATTCCTATGTCAACAAGTAAGTATGTAGGTTCCTACCATGAGTGCAGCCAATTCAATAATTTCATTGCCAATTCAATAATTTCATAAATATTAATGTATTTAATTCTATGAAGTTTTATCATTTCAAAGCTACTGGTGAGCATTCTACCTCCTTCTGGTTGAGTAGGCTGAGGTTCTGGTTGAGTAGGGGGGACAGAAAAAAAACCTCATTCCTGATAGCAGCCAACATTAAGGGCTGATTCTCCCTAGTAATAAGAGTCATGGTAATGAATCACCGCAGACAACAGAATGAATCTTCTTTATTCTCTGCCTGCCAGGAGGTGTTCAAGTATCTGCCTATGACTGTCCACATGTTTACTATACTATTATCCATGACTGCACCTCAGAAACTTTAACACTTTTGTACTTAGAACAGCTACATAGAGGGAAGAAAAGGATTACCTCCATTTTCTGGATATGATTCTGAGTCACAAGGAAAACACAGGAGTTATGCAAAGTAATTTATGGCATATCTGCAAACTAAAATTCAGTGCCATATAGACTTTCCCAGCACAGATGTACATAGCCTTGGTCAGACACCAGCACCTAATCTACTGTGCTTCCAAGCTGCAGGAATAAAACAGAGCCGAGCACCAGGCTAGATGACAGTACTGGGTCAGGGACCCATGCTAGCATTTTTTAGAGCTAGTTTGAGTTGTTTCATCATACCCACATCAAGTCTGTGGCAGCATAGTGTTGAAAACAGGAACTTCCTTTCTCCCTGAAAAGCTCTAATAATCCTAGAAATTCAGATTTTTTTTTTATTCCAGAACAGAGGGAATTTCTAATCCTAGAGTGATGCTCAGCATTTTTTTGATAATATATAGTGCAACTAAGAAAGGCAATAAATAGATGGGGTTTATTTATATCCATAGGTGACTGACACTATCAAGCCAGGACAGCTGACAACAGGCCAGCCTTCCTTCCCCCATCTTTTGGACACAATTTCAAGTTGGCTTGCTGGACCAGGCAGGCAAAGGAAAGCAGCAGTTGCAAGTCATGAAAATTTACATGGAGGCGGGGGTGGTGACACAAACAGTACACACAACTGTATTTGAGTTAAGTCTCCCTGTGTGAAAAGAGCAGAAAGCAGCCTCATTAACAAGTGGAACAATAGCAGTGGAAGCCAGCATCAGCCTTCCTGCTCCCCATGTTACAGAGAAGACACTGGGTGGGCTCCTCACCCTGACTGCTAATACCCTTCTGAACTCACCAGCTTTCATTCTGATTTCTCTTATTCAGCTCCCTACTCCCTGGTTTGTTGCAGCTCTCTCTTCTCTGGCTCTTCCCCACATTTCATTTCATAACTTCAGACACTCCTTTTGCCCTCCTCACACACATTTTGGCTTCTATTTTTAGTCTCAATGAAATAAGACCAGATTAAAACAAAATCCAATTTGGATGGGCAAAATCATCCTCTCTATAGATAGCTCAGTGCCAAAGGGCCAGGTGTGAGACAGAAGCAGCCAAGATATTATATAACCTTTCCTTAGTCTTTGCACACCTGATCTGGAATGACATTTCCAACACAGCAAGGAAATATGGGCAGTTCACCATCACCTAACTACTGAGAACAAGCAATGCTCAGCCTCCAGTCAGGCAAAAATGCCAATTCCCTGAAGTCATTGCTTATACTGCTTCAGAGTTTTATTTGAGTCTGCCAGAAGTGAAGGCTCCTAAAATTCATGCTGGGTTCTAGTTCTTAAACAGGGAAGCCAATTTCTATAGGCTGCCCTTTTCTTTTTTTCCTGCTTTCCCAGTGGTCCTGAGACTTAGAATGTCCTTTCAGTGGCATGAGACCAGTAGCAACAGGAAAAAGCTCCTCCCTTCCACAAAAGAAAGGCAAAGGGTTGACTAAAGGTGTGAGAGACAGGCTGTTCTCACAAGTTAAGCAATAAATGTCATTTTTGATCATTTGAAGTGAACACTGACCCTCAGCTCTAGCCGAGAGGTAATGGCTGAGTTGGACATTATCTTCTTAACATCATCTGAGAAGGGCTTAGAATGCTGCTTTTGGCAGAGCTTTACACTCTGCTGGGATTTAATGAGACTTACACATAGTTTTCTGATAACTGGGTAAACTCGACCATAGTCATAGCCTGTTGATAATGTGCATCTATTCTAAAGGTGCTGGCTAGAGACATCGATATTTGCTCACTGCTAATCACAAGGTAACGAAAAGCACTGAAAAACCCTTCTCCTTTCCCTTCTGGTCGATCTGGTACTACAGGCTTGTCTGTCATTATCTGGCCCGAGACAGATGCAACAACTATAGCAGGGAGAGAAATTATCTTTTCTTCTTTCTTTATGAAACTGTGTAAGTCAGCAGAGGGGAGAGAGGAGATCCAGGATGTTTTTGTGATGTGTGAAAGAACAATGGTTTTAGGAAGATAATTCTAAGAACAAATGTGAAACCAAAAATCCTCCATATTTACTGATTCTTTGCCCTCCCCAAAAGGGAGGCATAATAGTAGCATTCACCTCAAGCTCCACTGCTTTCCAAAATATGATAAACGGGACTGATTCCATTTCTCATTAACCCTTTCTCTGCACAGAGGTGGCACTACAGAGTGAGATGCTGACAGAATGTTATTACTGCTGTTCACAAAGGCTGTATGCAGGGTGAGAGGCTGCACTGGAGACGTTTGATGCAAGGTTCTGGATATCACACTGCTGTTGCCTTTCAGTAACCCACTCAGAGCTTCTCAGCCAGACAGGTGGTTCTGGAAGAACTCATCATTACTCCATTCCTGGTCTAGAATAAGTAATGAGGTGACATCAAAAGTTGCTCTTTTGTGTCATAAGGTATCTTGTGCCTGAATAGCCAAAGTAGTCTGAGGTAGAAGTTAGTTGAGGTGCTCATTTGAAGGTCACCTTTCGAGGTTATAAGACCACTTGTGCAGTCAGTCATAGCAACAAGAGAGAACCAGGAGAGTGGCAAATGGAGACTGGAATTAACAGGATTAATAGGAGGGAGGAGGCGTACCAGCAATGTGCTGTGCAGAAACCTGAGTGATTTCTTTTCCCAGCTGCTCCTGATGAAGGATTTGGACAGTGTGGTGAGACCAGCTGAAATCATAGCCAAGGTTCCTCTTGGGAATGTGGTAACAATATAAAAATAAATACATTGGTGTTCAACAATCTACTGCCTTCTGTGGCTGCAGAGGAGCCTGGCAGAAGTTGAGGAAGCCTGGACAAGGCTGGGCAGCTGGGAATTTCACCCTACTGTAGCAAATGGCTGGGAGTCTGATACAGGCCATGCACAGTGGCAACAGTACATACCCCATCCCATCCCCACCCTTTACGCTCCAAGAGAGTTGAGAGACACTGGCTGATAAAAGCATCTCCAAATTACATTGTTAATATATACAGTTAAAAAAACGTCCAGCCTGTAGGTTCCTTCCTTCAACATCTGAACTTGCCATATCAAACACAGCCTCATAAAGACAACCTGGAACTGAACAACCCACCATATTACTTGGCTTAGCTGTTACTCAGCAAGCTATATTCTGAAGATTAGGAAAAGACAATTGATTTCTTAGTTCACAATCACCCTATCTCACTAATACTAACTGAATGCCTAAATTCCATGAAGCAGGAAACCATCAGTGTAATGCTGAGGGACCTTCAAAGTAAAACAATAAAAACTGCAACGCAATAATGGCTGTATTTGCAGAATGACTGACAACCTGCTAGCAGCTGGCTCTTTCAGTGAATTTCAGTGAAAAATCAGGTCAGAAGCATTTTGAATATTCCCTAGAGGTAGTAATTAGTATTTCTTTAATAGAATAAATCCTATTAAACTTTCAGGAACTTTGAAAGGAAACTGTCTCAGACACTACAAAAATAAGCCCCAAATGATAGCTTACAGATTTAGCTTCCACTCTGTAGATACTCATGAGAATCTCTGCCTTCTCTGTCATTAAGCCAGTGGCACACAGCTCACACACAACTTCTGCCTCTCCATGAAATGAGGATGAGGCCATAGGGATGAGAGGCTGCCACACTTTCATTGTAGTGGTGGCTTGTTTCAGAATCCTGAGCTGCTTTGCAAAAATGCTGACTTTTATTCTCCTTTTTATTTCATCTTAAGGGATCTGTCCTCAAGAGCTTGAGCCCACCACACAACAGTATCTACAACTGGTGTTGTTATCCTAAGTTGCAGTACTAACCACCAGTGAACTGCTTTCCGGACAATCTGGTTAAAAGTTTCCATATTGCCTGACTCTCCTCCTCTGAACATCAACATTACTTTTGGTTAGACCATTTGTGACACCTTTACACTTATCCACAGACAAGCTGTTAGAGGGAGAAGGCCTATTCAAGATTCTCAGATGTTTTTGAACATTTGTGTGTGTATTTACACAGAAGTTCTGCCTGGTTCCTTCTTTATCTCTGCAACTTTTCACAGCCTTCTATCTTTAAATGCTTGCAGTTTATTCTGTAATCTGCTTCATGACTTGTGTCTTCAACCCCTCTAGTTGGTATCTAAGATACTAAATACATGGGAAACAGTTACCCCAAATAAGCTGCTGATGAGGGAAATCAGGGCCCTAGTGTAAGCAATCAATGGAGAGAGTGAAGAAGAAAACCAGCTGTTCCTGCAGGAAGGACCAGAGTAGTTTCTGAGACACACAGACTGGGCACAGCAGCCTCTGACGCATACCAGTGGCTTGGTGAAAAGCTGAAGAAAATATCATTCCCTAGTTTCCAAGAACAAACATTTTGCTCAAGTTAGTTCAATCACTGCAATATCTAGCACTGTTCTTGGAGCTATGTACTTCTAGCAACAAGGAAGCTTTGAGTGACCCACCCACCATGGTTCTGCTAGCCCACCCCTAGCCAAACAAGGGTTCTATCTAAGCCCTCACACTCTTAGCTAAATGGCAGGCTCTGAAGCTTTGTTTCAGCTTCAGAGGGTAAGTTTAGTACAGTGCAGATAGCCTAGTCCTACAGAAGGAAACATGAGCTGAAGTTCTCAGTTCTTACTGGATTACAAGTATACCCAGAGAAGGTGACTACCACGAACTTTGTATTTATCTAGCCTATATTCTTCCTGCAGCTCTGGCTGTTGCCTTCCATCATTAATATTATCAACAATCCTCACGTATGCTCTGCATAATATTCACAGAAATAGGGAAGGACGGAAAAATGCTACCTACAGTTATCACAGACATACATAACAACAACAGTACCCAGAAGAGATGGAAAGAATCTTTTGCAGAGGTTAAAATTACAAGGTGGCAACTGTGAGAGTGCTCTTAAAACTGTGAAACAGAAGGCAGAATTCAGCACACAAACACCTTTGTGTAAGTCCACTCAGCGAACTAGTTTGGTCAATATATTAAGAACTCAATTTTCACATTTACTTGTAAATTTATGTGTAACCCTGCATTATATACTGTACTAAAACTCAACATGAACTATACAGTAGAACAGAACTTCTGCTTCAACTATACATATACTACAGTGTTGACATAATTTTATTTATTTTGATAATCCCATTATATTCCATTCCTACACTGTCACATTCCCATGTGCTGTAGGGTCTTTTTTATTGACTATGGCAATTCACCCAATAAAATTTGTGGTAAGATAACTGGCGGTTTTGGCAGGTGGTAAAGTGTGGGAGGCAGTTTGGAACTGTACGATAAGTGCATTAGCTGAATGTTTGTGCTAGAGGATCAGCAATAAAATCACTGACATTAATAATGGAAATGTCATCTTTTAAGTTTCAGAGCTAAATATCCAAGAGATTAATTGAGTAGTTCACCCCTATGCAAAGTTTTATTTCAGCCCGTGAAAACACAGAGATCACTGCATTACTAGTACTCAAGTCATGTTTTCAGGGTTTTCAAAACAAAACCAAAGGTCAGAAACAGATTTTTTTAAAGCATTCTAAACCATAATTTGTCCATATATTCCATTACAGCACCATCACAAATTACTGTGGACCACAGGTAATATGGGTTCATCAAGACTACACTCTACCTGCTAAGAGGTCTTCGTCAATGAAAAATGAATGGGGTCCTCATTTATGGGGACCTTAACAGCAGATAAACCTGTTTGAACTAATTAGCCACAAGGGAATGATGAAGATATGATTCTATAAGTCTCAGTGATTTCCCTTTGGGAACTTTCACCTCTACTGATTGACTTCACTATGCAGCTGATTCACAAGTCTCAACTATGTCTTTCTGAACTATGGAGCTTTTCTGCAAAAATGAAGAAAAATGTAAAGAATGGCCTGGCCCTTCATTACAGGCCAAGCTTAAACAACAGAGCATCTTTGAGCCAAAGCCTAAAGCAAAGAGGAGCCATTTTAGCCAAGTTTTTTTTTCCCAGCCACATTTTTAGGGCTCTTCCTCTTCCAACTCTACGAAACAGCCTTTACTCCCTTCTGTTTAGTCTTTTTAATCCCAGGAGGAATAAATTCCCTGCACAGCTGAACCCAGACTGTTACCTAGGAACCACTACATGCAGGGTAGGCAGCTGTGTTTCTTCTTCTTGCTGAGAAAGTTTTTTCCTTGCCAGTTCTTGAGAAAGATTAAAACATCCCCGCATGCCCACCCCCACTTTCCTGGTCTTCAGCACTGGCACTCACCTGTGGAATTTGTCCCTGGCTCACAGGATCCAGCACTGTGAAGGCTGTTCTGGAATCCATTCAGTTGCCTTTCAGTGGAGGTCACCCTAACAGGAAAAGCATCCAATTAGATAGAGATAAGAAAGGATATACCAAGGCAGAATAAAAGTCTCAAATAAAAAATTGAGAATTCCCCTAGTTTACATAATCTCACTAGGATGCAGCTATGAAGCTGTGCCTAAACATGGTATAAAAAAGGCAGTGACAGCAACTGACTTCAAAAAGTTAGAGCAAGACAGATGAACACTCCAGCCACCAGCTAGACTTTGATGTGCCTAAAACACTTAATTGCCTCCTATCTTGGAAGCTGATTCTGGAGGATAAAGGAGATAGTAAATGGTACTTGACCACCAAAGCACAACTCAATTAGTAATACCGTGGTCACTTTATCCCAGTGATTTGAAGTAAAATAATTAAGCAAGCTTAGAACAGAAATGCACACGCTAGCAAAATCATGCTACATTCAAAAGTTAAGTCCTTGCATCTTGTCTCAGCAGTCAGCTTATTTAGGCAAGACTTCTCACTTGTCTTGGAAACTGAGACCCACAGGATGCATTTAATCTCAGCAGTCCAGTGCCACTCCTCAAGCAGACAGTTTATGCAAATCCCCCTGCATTTATCTCAGCATTTGAGTTACAGCAAAACTATGTTCTGTGGAGTACAACTGCACTTCCTTTAACTGTTATAAAGATTCATGACCAAACTGAGACCATGCCCTCCTATGTAAAAAAATGGGTGTACTCATAATGCAAGGTCAAGCTCTACAGCTGCAATGATTTATTCTGTCCTTAAAAACTATACAATCAATCCACCTATTCCTGGTTTGTTCTCTCCTCCTTATCCCTCCTTGCCTTTCTTCCTTCCTGCCCAACTCTATTCTGATCACTTCAGCCTTGTACGTTTACACTCCTGTCTCTCTACCAGAGTCCTTCTCCTTCACTCATTCAGCTCTGCAGTGTTACACAGTTACTACGAGCTCTTCCTCAGAAGAGCACTGTAATCTCCAATCCCCATGTGATGCCCTGATGACTAACAGACCCAGGCACATGTGTGCAGTTTCTACAGTTTTGTCTGAAGCCTTTTCAGATTTCAAAGTCAGCTGCCAGTAATCCAGGTGCTCCTGGCAGCTAAAAGGCCAGTGAGGGACTCCTGTATTTTATCTCAGCTGGATTTTAGTGAAATAAATTGGAGTCCATACAGGAAGGGAGAGGTATGCAGATACAACACTTGCAAAACACAACCCCTTACTTCAGTCAGCCATAATTTCAAATGCTATTGTCAAATGAGGCGCCTGTTTCTATGTTTATTGTCTCTTGGAGAGAATTATGGATCTGTACTTATGGTTTCTTTTGTTGCTGATACTGCATGGTCCTTCTAGAAGCTGAGAATCCAGATGGATCTTTATGCTTCTTACATAGAGATTCCATGCTCATAATTAGCTTGTCCACTTTATTAACACAGCACAACTGACAGCCAAATTCAGCTCACTCTTCTGTAGGTAGAATCACAGAATAGTAGGAGTTGGAAGGGACCTCCAGAGATCATCTAGTCCAACCCCCCTGCCAAAGCAGGTTCATCTAGAGCAGGTTGCATAGGATCGTATCCAGATGGGTTTTGAATGGCTCCAGAGAAGGAGACTCCACAACCTCTCTGGGCAGCCTGTCCCAGTGCTCCGTCACCCTCACAGTAAAGAAGTTCTTCCTTATCTTCAGATGGAACTTCCTGTGTTCCAGTTTGTGCCCGCTGCCTCTTGTCCTGTCGCTGAGCACTGCTGAAAAGAGTCTGGCCCCATCCTCTTGACACCCACCCTTTGGTTATTTATTGACAAGATCCCCTCTCAGTCTTCTCTTCTCCAGGCTAAACAGACACAGGTCTCTCAGCTTTTCCTCATAAGAGAGATGGTTCAGGCCCCTAATCATCTTTGTGGCCTCCGCTGGACTCTCTTCAGCAGTTCCTTGTCTTTCATGAACTGGGGAGCCCAGAACTGGACACAGTACTCCAGACATGGCCTTGCTAGGGCACAGTAGAGAGGGAGGATAACCCCTCTCAACCTGCCAGTCACATTCTCCTTAACACACCCCAGGATACCATTGACCTTCTTGTCAAGACTAGTGGTTGAAAATGTCAAAAAAAAAACCAAAAAACAAAACAATCAAGGAACACTCGCATTTCTACCTTAAAACATAGTTTATGTTTAGAGAATCTATTTATCTCTGCAGACTTGCCCTTCTTCTTTTCTGCCTACCCAAGAGTATACCTTGATTCTGGCAGTTTCAACTATCACCTCCACACAGCTCATTCTCATATCTGCTTCCAGGTCATGAATCTCTCACCATGCTAAGCTCACCCTTCAGCTTCTCTCTGCTGTCCTGATGGAAGCTCCAGTGACCAAACATATTCACTGCTTAAACAGAGTTAATCTCTCTCCATTTCTTCCTCCTTGGGCTGGCTGAAACCCTACTGCCTTTCTCAGTTTCCTGCTTTTAGTGTCTGTGTTATTTTTGCTTCCACTTCTCCAATGCAATCCATTGTTATGTTCTCCATTTCTTCCTCTTCTTCTTCAATACACTGTCACTACAAAACACTGTTCCTACTCTCCTCTCCACTTAAATATCTGTCATTGCCCTTTCCTATCTCTTCTACAGCTAACCTCTCCTTGAAACTGATGCTGACTTCCTTCATCTAGGCACTAAACCAGCCCAAGGCTGCATAGCCTTGGACTGCAAATTTGTAGGATGCTCTTGTTCCACAGGTGACAAAGAAATATTTTTGACTAAATTTTTAACACCTTTTTTTAACAACGTATTCCTGGGATGCTAGGAATGTATCTAATGGTCTGGGGGTGGCACAGAACTGACATTAACAGATTCACATCACAAAAAGCCCAGGTTTAGCAAGAGGACAGCAACAGATGTGAAGACCCACAGCCAGGGAGGCTTGTTCCTCATTGTTGCTCTTGGACAGGGTATCTCCACATGTGTATCTGTGTGTATGATCTGAGGCTAGCCAAAGGCTAAAAGCTACAGGCCTAGCGAGCCCAGCTGTGTCAGGGTGTTAAATCAAGGCATGTCTCTCAGATGCACTGCTTTTGCTGCCAAAAATGTCTAAGGGTCAGGCAGCCTGATTAACCCAGATGCTCAGGAGCTAAAAAAACAAGTGTGCTGCAGTACAGCAGTAGCAAAAAAGTGAAAGGGGTGCCAGTAACAGTTACATGCTTGCTCTCCTGCTGCCTGTCCTCTTTTCAGTGGGCACTCAGTTTGTATGCGTGATCACTTGACACTTCACACATGCCTATGAATAAGCACACATAGGCAAGACAGGATACAAACTAGAACCACAGCATTTTACAAGGCTCGCTCTGAGGCCATCATTCTACTTTTGGCACATTTGCCAGGCTTGGCCAGCCTGTCCTAGAACAGCTGGCTACTGCTGTATCCAATTGCAGTCAGGACTCTACTCCGCCGTGGGATGGATTTCCTGAACCCTGGAGAAATGCATCGCCTCTACCCTATTTCTGTACTAGTTACAATAGAGCAGAACTTTGGCTCTTCTGCTGCTGGCACCATGCAAAGCAAATATACAAAAGGAGAACAAGGTAGGAAGATTTTGTTCTGTGGTGTTGGGACTTGAAGAGAGTATTTGTTTTGAAAGGCTTCCTGAATAGAGTTGCTGGGAATTACATTTGCAGAGAAGTTCAGTACAAGAAATTAGGCCAAGTTGATCAGCATCCCCAATAGTTTGTGATGTTCCAGTCTATTGCTGGTAAATTCAGTGATCTTCTGGGGCTCGCTCACTCCCTGATAACATCTTGAACTATATGCCTTGAAGTATATGCTCCTTTTCTCTACCCTGGCATCTCCTCTCTTTATATACAGTGGTCTAACACTGACAGCTGAATTTTTCTGTCACCTTTTCTTTGACTGATAGTTCTGTTCACAGGCTGTTCAAGGCCTTGCTCTACTTGATGCTGTCAGTTAGAGAGCGGGTTTCCGGAAAGTTACTATAGGAATGACAGCACAGAAATTTGTATTCATTGTGACGTGGTCATTCCTAAAAGCAGAACAATTTTCTGTCTACCATCTGTACTAGTTCACTCTGGGTTCTGACAGTTGAGCTAATATATTTTTCTACTTTGCATGTTGTCATCTGTAACATGAAGATTCAATACACCAAATGCTGCTTCCAGGGACATCTGCTTCATTCCATGGCTTACAAATACTATATCTGTGATCTCTTTCTCAAAATGTTGTTCTCAGCTATCAGCAGGTTTCTTCATGGTTCACAGACCCATCAATATTGGTGGTAACATGAGCAGTGGAAAGGACCCAGTCTGATTCTTGGAAATAAAGAAGAGCTTGTTGTGTTAACTGTTCAAAAACTATCTAGTTGTGGTATGAGCACATTTAATCAAAACTATGGAGCCCCATGAGACCATTTTATGGGGCTACATTTCAGAGTAGAGCTATATATTAAACCATTTATCCCAGTTAGTCTTTTTCCACACTTTAATATGGGCCCAAATTTCCCACTCTGTTAGCTTAAGCAAAGAGCCTGCTTTGGATACAATCCATTATAAAGTCAACCCAACACCTTTTACAAGTCGAGAGACTGAGAAAACAAGAGAGGCCAGGAACTGAAAAGACTGAATTGCCTGGCTGTTCCATTACTTTTTTCCTTTATGTTTTAACCAGGGAAGTGTCCAAGTTACTAGATAGTTTTTGAATTAGTCAGTAATGTTCAACTTTAGCATCTCATTTGTTTGTAGTTTTCTACTACTTATTCTTTTCTTCCTCTTCTGGAAGCCACGTGTGCTGGCCAGGAGAGAATTGATAACGCATGCAAGGAAGAGATAGGTCAAAGAGACAAAGTTGATTTTAGTTTGCCTTCACAGTCCAGTCTCTGGAGAAATTCTAAAAACAACTTTAAAAATACGATCTTTATTAAGCTGTTAAACAAAAGCCAGGCAGTGCAAAAGCAGACAGAGAAATAAGGTCTGGCTTACCGAAATATATGGGGGGCGGCGGGGGGGAAGAGACCTGAGAGCTTTAACAACAGAAAGGGATTAGTTTCAGTGAGTCTTGTGGAAATAAAATATAGCACTGAGATCTTCTTTGAGGAAAGAAATCAGGAAAACAGCCAATAAGTATCAGAGGGTGAGAGGGGGCAGCAAATCAAAAATGACCTGACAGAGAAATGAAGCAGCCAAAAAGCCAAAATTAGATTAGATGTTGTGGAGAGGGATGTTTGCCATGTCATAACCTAAGGATAGGGTAGTTCCACACCGGAAAAGTACAATTCTGGGTGTGACAATGCAAGCACTCTGAAAAACTTAAGAAAATACAGTAAATTCAAGACAATTCAGGACTTGGCAGGTGGAACTACTATCTGAGGTTAACAAAATCTCAACAAGTCTAAGCAACATTAGGAAACTCCAAGAATTAGAAGGATATTCAAAAGATGGAAAGTATTTGCAAGGGAAATTGTTTAGGGTGGTTCAGGATGAAGGAACAAGGTACAACAGGATGAAACAAAGAAAAAATTCAGATTTCACATCAGGAAAAACTTTCTGATGATAAGGTTGTCTAGATTCTTAAACAGTCTTGTATAGCACATGGTGGGGTTTCTGCCACTGGAGTTTTTTGAAAGCAGGCTACATACAGTGTCCGAGAATACTTTGTACAGAATAACCAGGGGCTGTAAAGGACAGGCTGGAGCACACAAGACATCTTTTTCTTCTCTAATCTATATTCCTCTGACATAGAGGCTTTTCTCCATTCACTCTCCTCTGTTGATGCATCTCTGGTCTTTTCCTGACAACAATAAGTGGATTAAATCAGACTGAGACATAGTAGTTTTCAAATGATCAGCCCTCAGTGTGCTGGAGATATAGCTGGGCATTGCTGTTTTCTGTGTAAGTGAAAAAATGTTACTGCAAGATCCCATGAATGGCAAGAATGGGTTTGGAGCCTCGTGCTGGAGACTGAAAGGCAACTTGGAAAGTATGTCCGGAGTGGCTCCTTGCAGCCTTCAATAGTTGGATTAGTTTTCTGAAATTCTGAAGGAATCTTTTGCTTTTTTTCCCCCTTCTGTGCATTTTTGGTGCTGAACCTTTTCCGGTTTTCCCACACTCCTGCCTGTCACAGAGCAGAAACCACAAAAATGTAGCAAAGTAAAGTCTGTCCAAGGAGCTGCAATTCCATCTCACAAGGATAAACATTTCCTCTGCCAAGAAGTGAGCACAGCACACCGGCATCTTCAAATACACATGCCTGCTGCCCAGCAGAGAAACCCACTGACATTGCCTATCACCTGTACTAACATGAGCTACCCAACATAAAATAAATTAGATAGCAAACCCATCAGCATATACCTGCCAGACCTGATGCTCACATCTGCATTTGCTGAGTTGACAAAGTCTACTAACATCTTGTTTTCTTTTCAAATAGTTTTGGGAGATTAATTCAGTGTGCTGTCTCTTAAGATAGCAAGAGTACAGGCAGAAAATATATAAGTTTCCCCACAGCAGTTCTGTCCAATATGTCTTACAGTTCCATATTTGATCCACGCACACTGACAGTGCCCTAGTATTTTCCTAAGGTGTCTTTAATCAGTAATCTTCTAATAAAACTACTCTCTTCAGGCAGGAAGGGAACATAGAATCCAGAAACCTCACAGGAACCTGCTCTGAAAGCTTTACAGCTCTTCTGGCTGCAGAGTAAGTATAAGGGAGGAAGTTGTGAATGCAACTTTTGCCCTTCAGTATTCAGGGGTGAAATAAGTTTGAGGATATATGAAAAAAAAAAAAAAACCTGATGAAGAATTTAGTCTAAAGGAGTTCTGTCATTAAAGAGGGGATAAACAGAGCTGAGGAAGCTACCAAGAAAGGTAAAGGATAAGAAGAAAACCCAGAATTCTTGCTCACATTCTCTCATAATGCACAAAAGAGAAGACACACCAAGAAATGGAAAGGAATTTACAATCAGTAAGCAACGTTTCATGCTGATTTTTTTTTGCTTTTAAAGATAACACATGCCAAATCCATCTACCTGAGAATGGCAAGCACTATATAACTAAAAGCTTAGTAAAAGTTAAAAGAAGAATTTCTACAGATAATGAGGAAAGCTATTGCTACATTAGGCACAGTGTAAACACTTTAAATGAAAAAAACACATGCTTGAAGGCATAAATCAATCACTGTATGTTAAATGTAAGGGGAAATGGCTCAAGGGCAGATTAGCTTGTTAAAGATACTGCCTGGGTTTTTTTGGCAGCCTCTTCTGATCCACCAGATTCTAACCTCCATCAAAGATTAAACATGGAAGAAGTGACTCAAGTGCCTAAACTTAGATGTCTAGTACCATATTTGGTACTCTCAAGTTATTCGAGACATCTGCATAGGAATGGCAGATACAACGTAAGATCTACAGAAGTCTCGTGCTCATCTGGAGGTCAGGTAGAATAGCCCCAGGCATCCAAAATGGCACTAGCAACCTGCATTTAGGTAACTGAATTCCACCCTGGATCAGATATTTCTCTGATTCAATCTGGCAGCTCCTATGTTCTTAAGTTTGTAGGATGCTACAGTCTTACCTACCTTACCATTGTGAAACATGAAACTGCAACATAGTGCACACCTATTTCAGTGCACACAGCTCAGGTTATTCTAAGATTTATCTTGGACTGCATAGCCAAAAAGATCTATATCAGAATTACATATAGACAGGTTCTTCTCTGATATCCTAGAGGAAAGAGAGAGAGTCTGGAGAGAGGAAGACTGTCCCTTGGTTGAGGAAGAGCTGGTCAGAGACAGCCTAAACAAAATCAATACACACAAATCCATGAGCCCCGATGGGATGCACCCACGAGTGCTGAAGGAGCTGGTGGAATTGATCGCTAAACTGCTCTCTATCATCTTTGAAAGGTCCTGGACAACAGGAGAGGTGCCTGAAGACTGGAGGAAAGCCAACGTCACTCCAGTCTTCAAAAAGGGCAAGAAGGAGGATCCGGACAACTACAGGCCAGTCAGCCTCACCTCTATCCCTGGGAAGGTGATGGGACAGCTTGTTCTTGATACCATCTCTTAGGCAGTTGGGAGAAAAGAAGGTAATCAGAAGTAGTCAACATGGTTTCACTAAGGGGAAATCATGCTTGACCAATCTGGTAGCCTTCTATGTTGTCATCACCAACTGGGTAGATGAGGGGAGAGCAGTGGATGTTGTCTACCTTGATTTCAGCAAGGCTTTTGATACTGTCCCCCACAACATCCTTGTAGCAAAGCTTAGAAGGTATGGGACTGATGAATGG